TTGGTCTGTTGAAGGGATGGAACATGCCATTACAGCTGTGTTGAATGAGGAAATGGGATATAAAAGGGCAGCTGAATCGTACGGTGTGCCTCAATCAACTTTGGAGAGAAAAGTTAAAATAGCTAGAGAAAATCCAGATATTGGACTGAGCAACTTAAAACCAGTTTAGGTCCAAAAAAGCCAGTTTTTAGTTCAGAAGAGGAAAATTTGCTAGTAAAATTTCTCTTAAAAATGGAGGAGAGATTTTTTGGCCTTACTCCTTACGACCTATGAGTATTAGCTTTCCAGTGGGCTGAAAGGCTCAATAAAGCCCATGTATTCGCAACTGAAAAACGAACTGCAGGGAAGATTGGCTCTCAGGTTTTATGCGTCGCAATCCTAGAATATCTCTAAGAAAACCTGAGGACACCAGTGCTGCAAGAGCAGCAGGATTTAATCCTACAGTTGTTAACAATTTTTTTGATCTTCTAACTCGATTAGTAGATAAATATAAATTAACTCTAGAAAGAATATACAACTGCGATGAAACTGGCGTATCAATTGTTCCCAAAACTAAGTCAAAAATTATTTCGTTAGAAGGAAGAAAGCAAGTTGGAGCACTGACTTCTGCTGAGAGGTAAAACTATCACAATTGAGATATGTTTTAACGCTGCAGGTACCTACATGCCACCAATGTTTATTTTCCCACGTTCTAAAATGAATCCAAAGTTATTGAATGGCTGTTCTCCTGGTGCATGGGCTGAGACTCACCCAAGTGGATGGATGCAAAAAGAGATATTTTTTGCATGGTTTAAAAAGTTCGTTCAATTTAGCAAAGCTTCAAAAACGTCACCTGTACTTCTGCTACTAGATGGCCACTCCACTCATACAAAAAATATAGAGTTGATCAACTACGCACGAGAAAATGGTGTCATTTTATTATGTTTCCCTCCACATTGTTCACATCGTTTGCAGCCACTGGACGTTTCATTTATGCGGCCTGTGAGTGTTTTCTATGATACAGAAATATCTCAGTGGCTGAGAACAAACCCAGGACGGGTTGTTTCGCAGTATCAAATTGCAAGCTTGTTCGGAAATGCTTTCTTGCGAGCAGCTACAATGCTTACGGCAATTAATGGATTTCGTCAGACTGGAGTATGGCCACTTAATAGAAATGTTTTTGGAGAAGCAGATTTCGCTCCATCACAGACCACAGAAATTGTTCTTTCTAATAACTCCATACCTGAGAGTCAAATGAATACGTCTGAACTTTCCACGAATTTGTCGAATCCGGTTATTCCTCCTCGCCCTTCTACACCTACAGATCAACCAATAGTTAGTTCTGATGCCCCAAGTATTCAGGCTTCCTGTTCGTCTAATTCCACTTTTAAAATAGACTTTCAAGATTTAACTAAGCCTGCTACTTCCTTCGAATTTATAACTCCAAAACAAACTAATCTTTCGAATTTACCATGCACACCGGAAGATATTATGCCGGTTCCTTCCTGCAAGCAAACGACTCCTAGGGTTACCCGAAAAAAAGGCAAGACCGCTGTTTTAACGAAATCGCCGTGTAAACAGGAACTAGAAAAGAAAATTGCTGAGAGACAAAATAAAGAGCTACAGAAGAAAGAAAATGTTAAGAGAAAATTAGAAAACAAAAATAATGCGAAGGGCAAGAAAATACAAAAAAAACAATTGGTTCTAAAGAAAATTTTAAACCGAAAAAGACTGGGATCAAAAAAAGGCCATCAACATCATCAGTATCATCCTCTGAATCTTCTGATGCAGAGTGTTTGTACTGTGGCCATCTTTACTCTGAATCGACCGAAGGGTGCATCCTTTGTATCAGATGTCACAGATGGGCCCATTGTTACTGTACGGGCGAAGAGGACGAGGATGATGAAGTGACCCATATTTGTTCCCTATGTGAATAGATACCATCTTGCCCCGCATCATTTCCCATCTTACCCCACATGTGGGGCAAGATGAAGTTTTTGACATGCCCCTGTTTCAACTTTTTTTACTCTTTCATTTTTTATTGTATGTTTTTTTAATTTTAATACATAATAAACAAATATATAACAATGTGTTTCCTTATTTTGTAAATTTATTGAACTTATCCTGTATGAAATATTATCAATCAAACCTTAAATACCCCGTCTTGCCCCGCTCTCCCCTATGCAGTGCCTTACACGACCTTACAGCGGAAATATCGCGCGGGCGAGCGATCCTTAAAAATTGGAGGACAACCGGTCCTTTCTGAAATTGAGGAAAGAAAGCTGGTGGATTGTCTGTTACTTTGTGTAGACTGGGGATTTCCTCTACAAAGTATTGACATTCGGTATATAGTGCAGTAATATCTAAACAAAGCAGGAAAAAGAGAAAAAAGGTTCAACAAAATATGCCAGGAATAGATTGGTGCAAATCAGCGACACAAGAATCTCACGGTAAAATTGACCGAAAATACAAAAAAAGGAAGGACTGCCGTCTCTTATGAGACAGTTGAACAGTATTTTTTCGTCAGCTTGGAGAGTCACTGGAAGGTGTTCCGCCATCAAATATCAATTATGATGAAACGAATTTCACCGACGACCTCCAGGAGCTGTAAAAGTCGTGGTAAGAAAGGGATCAAACCACGCTCATAGAGTTATGGATTCGTCCAAAACCAGCACAAGCGTAATGTTTGCAGTTGCTGGTGATGGAACACTCTTGCCGCCCTATATTGTATATAAGGCAAAGCATATGTACGAAGGATGGGCAGATGGGGGCTTTGCAGGTGCACGGCACAACAGAGCAATAAATGGTTGGTTTGATAACACAACGTTTGAGGACTGGTTCGTATTAATCGCATTGCCATACTTTAGAAAGTTACAAGGCTCAAAGGTCATGATTGGAGACAATCTATGCAGCCACCTTACAATCAAGGTTATTGAGCAGTGTGAAAATAATGACATAAAGTTCATAAATTTGCCGACCAACTCGACTGATTTGCTGCAACCACTTGATGTGCTTATTTTCGCCCTCTTAAGAATGCTTGGCAAAAGGTGCTCACAAACTGGAAGATTAAAAACAGGGGTGGTCTTCCAAAAACCATGTTTCCCAAATTGTTGAATGAAACAATAGAAAATGTGGTTCTGAAATCAGCCTTAAACACCCAAGCAGGTTTTAAAGCTTGTGGCATTGTGCCATTTAATCCAAATCAAACCTTGAGAAAGATAGAACACCTAAAAAAAGAGAAGACCAAAATGAAGAGAACGAGAAAACAAGAGTAGAACAAAGGTGGGCGAATATCATTGTCGATCATTTAAGAGAACTAAGAACGTGCTCTGGAGAAAATCCAAAAAGGGGTAAGAGTGAATGTGACTGCAGGAAAAAGTTTTTCTAAGACCTTGTAGAAGAAAGTGAAAGTTCTCAAAGCAAAATAACGGCATTTTAACACCTGATCCGTTTCACCCCGACCTATGGGGTGAATCGGATCACATTTCGAAAAAAAAAAACTGGTTAGTCAGTTTTGAAAAATATTTCAGTAATTTGTACCCCAGACATGTATCTGTAACATATAAATTTTACAGAATTTTTTAATTTCAAAAAAGTACGAAAACAAAAAACGGTATGTCAATGTCAGTGTTCATAATTGTATAAAGTTTAGTTGTCACCCAGCCATCTAGTTCCACGGTTCGTAGATGAAACGGTGGCCTCATCACAGTTGCTAAGAACGCAGTGACGTCACGGAATGAAAAAGTGAGTTGACAGAAAATATTCTACTTGGGGTCGTACATTAGTTTTTTAAAACATCTAATATTTTATTGTTATTAAGTGGTGTTTTCCATCAAATTTCAACTGAATTACTTTTTATTTGAATTATAGAGAGAAATATTTTAGTGTAAATGGTTTATTTTAAACATATTGAATTAGGGTACGGCCTCCGAGCTGAATTCGGATAACACTTTGTTTATATCATGAAATATTTTGAAATTTTAGCAAACAATTTTTTTATTTCTTACATACAAAAATCATTAGAATAGAAGAAAGGGACTGAACCTAAACTGAAATTGAAGGCTAATGGTAAGATTTTAGAGTATTATTCTGTAAATATTATTCACTATTATTAAATTAATTGCAGCTTTGTCCACCCTACATTTAAAAGCAAACGACTTGGTTTCTTACAAGCATTAAAAGTCAAAGGGCTTTACTAAAAGAATCTACATTATTGAAAAAAAGGTTTGCTACAGTGAGTTTTTAGTAAAAAGTAGTTACAAATAATTTTATAGAAGAAAACACGGGCCTGTTGGACTTCAGAAGAAACTAGGGTGGGCCGATTTTGATGGTTTTCGAAAATAAGAATTTGCAACTTTGGAAAAGTTGCAAAACCGAAAAACAAACTTTTTTTTTATTTGACGAAAAACTATATTTTTTTGTTTTGAACTGCCACAGTGACAGTTAATTTTCGAATTTTGAATTTTGTGAATTTTAAATTCTGCAAATTCTAAACTTCTTCGAAACAGAAAAGCAAGCATTTTTTGTAAATGACATATTCTGAATTTTTACTTTTTCAACTGCCACAAGGGTATTAAAATTTCAAGGTTAACGTTTCAATATTTGCATATAAAAAAAATTATTAGAAACAATACTGAAACGTTTTCTTTATATAGTTTTTTCTATAGCTTTATGTTTTAAACTGCCACATTAACGATATTTCCGGGCAGAACGTCCTTGTGAGTGTTATTTTATCACATAATTCATTAACCAACGCACGCCACTGGCACCTACGTACACTAAAAATATCACGTTGCTAGGCCACGTGATCGTAATTAACGAAAGATTGCGCCAACAACAATCAGAGAACCACGTTTAACAGTATCAGTTGCTTTTTGTTGACCGTGCGACGTGTGAGTTGAGTTTAAATAAAATGTGTAAAAGTGAAATAAAATGTCCCATTTTTGGAGCTCCCAAATGTATTAGTGAAAATGTTCTGCCGACGTATGAAGATATGAACAGGTATTTCAATTGGGTAGAATATGAACTTAAGCCTCTATCAACAAATCCACAGCAAACCGCAACTGAAGCAAACTAAAGTTGTTGCTAAAAAAATTGTCGAAAATTGGGACAAAGCTTCAATTCCCACTGTACTTCAGTGTACTATTATTAAACGTATAACAAGCTATCGTCTTAAAATAAGGAATTTATTAAAACCCTATAAACAACGAAATAAAGTCATAAGCTATCAAAAGCAGTTACAGGATTTCAGAATAAAATCCAAAGTTTTATTTGATGTGGCTGCCTGTAAATGTTCAGACTTCAAAACATGTGTCTGTGATAAAGTATTCAAAGTGCCACAAGCGGAACGTAGTTTTATATTAGATCAAAGGACCGTAAGAAAAATGTTGATTAGTTCACTGGATGTAAAAACAACTAAAATAAACCAGAAGCGAGTTGAAAGAAACAAATTATTGAACACAAGAAGCGAATTAGATGAGAATGAGAAATCTGGGTTACAAGTGAAAGAAGATACACAGAGAGTGGAAAGATCCCAACAAGAATCCAGTACTTCTCAACAAGTTTCTACCGTACCTCAAGGATGTTTACAAATTCAACGTAATTCATTACAAATACCCGTGCTTGCGAGAACACTTGATCGTTATGGTATTTCTGATCGAGCTAGTGCTGCAGTAGCTTCAGTCGTTCTACAAGGATATTGGTATTATTAATAACGAAGACAAAAGCAGTATTCATAGATAAGAACAAGATTCGTCGTGCTAGAAGTAAGAAACGTGAAGGTATACTAGAAAACAATCAAAATTCATCATTACGCGGCCTGTTTTTCGATGGAAGGAAGGATGAAACGTTAAAGATGGAAGACGGTCGTCGACGAAAAATCCGGGAAGAGCACATTACTCTCATAAAAATGCCAGTCTGTATACTTGACGCATGTTTGTCCTGAATCAGGAACTTCGTCGAACATCATGAAATATATTTTAGAGTATTTCGATAAGTCTCAAATTACAACAGATGATCTGAGAGTGTTAGGATGCGACGGAACAAACATCAATGTTGGAAAACATTCAGGAATTATTGTAAATTTGGAAAAACATTTACATAGACCGTTGCAGTGGTTTATTTGCCAGTTACATGCAAATGAACTGCCTTTGCGACATCTCATCAATTTCCTTGATGGCAGCACAACTGGATCTAAAGACTTCTGTGGATCTATTGGACAGACACTGAAGGGATGTGAGAATCTTTCCATAGGTAATTTATTTAGTTTTATTTTAACTATTGTATTTATTTATTTTTTCATTTCAGTTGATTTCAACATAATTGAGTCGAGTATTCCGGCACTAGATGAGTCTGTAAGGACTGATCTCAGCACAGATCAAAAATATCTTTATGCTATTTCAAAAGGAACTGTAGACGAAAACTTATCCACACGAAGCCCTGGTAAAATTGTGCATTCCCGATGGCTGACAACGGCTAATCGCATATTGCGGCTATACGTTTCAACAGCTGAACCATCATTTAAAAGTATATGGTCCAATATGGTTCATTATCAAAGCAAAACCGTCATGTTTGCAGGGAGCCTTTAATGTCTGGAAAATGATTAGTTTATCAAGGTATTTACCGAAAAGATTGAAAGAAGTGATTGATCCAGTGATATTGCGAAATAGTTATTTCGCACATCCTGAAAATATCCTGCTTGGAATGCTAGGGGACACAAGAGAGCATATTCGAAAGCTTGCTGTGCTTCGAATTTTTAAAACTCGGAATTCTAACAAACAGCAATCAAGACGAAAATTTGAAGTTCCAAATTCGCTGAATATGAGCGCTTCCAGTAATATCGACTTAATTGATTGGAGTACTTCTGTTATAACAGAACCGCCATTAACAATGGGATTACCAGAAGAAGTTTTAAATGATATCGTGAAAAATCCGGCTACATCGATGTTATTTTCTGAAATAAAATCATATCCAAGTCACACGCAAGCGGTGAAACGGGCTGTTAAAATAGTGACGGAAGCTTCAGCTGCAGTTTGTGGTGGTGACAACAGAGATGGTGTAATAAGGGCAAAATTGGAATCACGTGGAATTATGCCTTCTTTTGGATCCAAACAAGATTATAAATTAGATTAAATTTTATTGGTACAAATTTGTTTTTTTCATAATATACCTATTTTTTAAGTTACCTTTAATATGACGTATTAATATTAGATATTAAAAATATGTATTTTTTTGTAAGAGTTATGAATTCGTTCTATAATAAATAATAACTTGATTTTACTTGAATTATATCTTTTCAACACTTCTATTTGACAAAAAAAAATGTAAATTAAAATTTCATAAAATGTCTTTGTGGCAGTTCAGTCAGTTCACATTGCAAAAATAGAAAAATAACTATTAAAGAAAATATGTTCCTTCTCAAGTAATTCAACTTTTAATTACATGCATATTATGAAAATTTAAATTTTTGAAAATGAAAATTTTAGTGTCATTGTGGCAGTTCTAAAAATTAAAATATCAAAAAAAAATTTAATGAAATATTTTTCCTCTCTTATTTCACAACTTTTTTTAACATGAAGACATACAGACATAAGTACTAACAAAGACATAAGTACTAACAAATTTTTAAATCCTCTATATACGTCGGCCCACCCTAAGAAACATACAATGTATATTTATATCGGAAATAAAAAATATATTTTGTCAGTTTTTAGTCGTTTTGTGTACAAACAGTATAATTTACTTAAAAAAAAAACAATAACCCAGTTTTACTATAATAATCTACCAGGTCTTCAACAATACCCGAAACCCACGTGATCAAATCGTCATGACAGCGATTGGTGAAAATAATAGTAAAAATCCCTAGATGTGGGCCAGTGCTGTAGGTGTTTTAAATAAAATAAAATATATTTTCTTCTTTTTTTTTATGGTCTGTAACCTTAAGAACAAAATACAGTGAGATATAACAAAAAAAATCGTATTATTAATTAATGGTGTTTTATATTATTATATTTTTATGTTAGAATTCCATTTAGGTCAATATAAAATCTTATCTTTAAAATTTTTGATGTAATCACTATTGAATTCAATACCTCTCCTATTAAAAGAGAAGAATAATTCGATACCTAACCTAAGATCACCGTATCTTGAGATTCTTGAGTGTGTTTTGTTTTTTGTTTTTAATGTTTATTTAACCCTTCGTACTTTATCTCGATGCTTCGTATATTTCTTTATCTTCAAGTTTGGAAGTAATACCTAATACCGCTGGTATAAATTCAGTTAGTTTCCACCACTACAAGCAGTGTGGCCAGATTGGGCGATTTATCGCAAATTGGGCGATTTTCGTTAAATATTGGCGCTTAAAAATTTATTAAAATCGCAAACCGCAAATTGGGCGATTTTCATAAATGCTAGCTGCGCTCTTCTTATTTCCAAATATGACGACTTCAATTTTCCATGCCATAAAATGGTCACATAAATTTGGTTGCGTTCCTGTTTGTGTTTTTTTAGTAATATTCTATTATATTCTATACTCTGTCTTCGTCTAACTGCGCGTGAAAGAGAAAGACAAGTCGACCTGACGAGCTGACAAATGACGGTGACGTATCGTTTGCGGAACAACGGAACGCGCCAGCCAGTGACAAATGAAACAAATAGTTAACGGTTAACCTCAAAAGATTTATTTTGTATTCTGTCTGTGCAAAAGATTGAACTGAACAGTGGATACTTTTTATTTTTTTGCGTTTTTGTTATACTTTTGGTAATAAACCACCTTTTCCTACCACCTCTACCATCAAGCCGAAAGCATGGGGAAATGGGCTAAATATGCCAAGAAGCATAAAAAGGAATGGGAAGATGAACCACAGTTTAAAGGTATTTTTTTGTATCTGTAGATAGGGCTATGGAATCTGTGTTGGTGTGGTTGGTAGTTAGTTGCATATTATAGTGTTTTTGTTTTCTATAATAGGATGGTTAGGAAGATGGCACAAGTTTTTGTAAATTATGTAACTCAGACTTAAGATCACACAGGGCTGACTTATTGAGGCACTCAAGCACGTCAAAACATAAGAGTAGGAAATAGGCATCAAAGAACTCTACAAACGTGTGGTATGTTTAGAATTTTAGATTGCATGTCGGGTAGTCAAGTAGTACTTGTTTGTCACCAAAATAATTAACTAAACATGTATTTATAATTGTTTTTTTTATTATTTTTAGGAATTTCTGTAAGCAATCACTTCTTAAATAAGAAAGAAATCATTCTATTAAGCTACATAGCATGTCACTCTTCCATCAGAAGCGTAGATCATTTGGTTGATATTTTCTGATCAGAATAGATCAACTTTAGCTTCAGGCTCCTCAAACGAGCAAGATAATAATTTCCATCTTCACAAAACAAAATGTGCTGTCATAATTAAAAATGTTATTGCGCCCTCTCTTTTTAAAGATTTAATTAATGACTTGAGCGATTCATACTTTTCTATTATTGTAGATGATTCCACTGATGTGAGTACAGAAAAATTGCTTTGCATCATTATTAAATATTATTCAAAAAAATGAAATAAAATTAAATTGCAATTTCTTACATTTTTGCCAGTAATAAAAACTGCTGCAGATGATTCGTATCAAGCGGTTACAGGTCTTTTATCTGTTAATTGGTGTTGGTACAGATGGAGCCTCTAATATATGTGCAGAACACAACTCTCTTTATACTTTTTTAAAAAACAGACTTGAATTGAACAATTTAGTTTTAGTTAAATGTATTTGTCACAGCTTACATTTATGTAGTTCTAAAGCTTCAGAGGTTTTTTCAGATGAAATTGATTTCCTTTTGAAGGAAACCTACAATTGGTTTAAAAACAGCTCTCTTCGTGTAAGTAAATATAAAAAAATCTATGACCTCATAAATGTAGGCAAAAAATTTGCAAAGTTAACACGACTGTCAGCTACCCGTTGGCTTTCTAGATATCAGGCGGTGGAAAAAATTTTAAGTCAATATTTGGAGCTTGAAACTTTCTTCAACATCAATGCAGATAAAGAAAGATGCCACACAGCTAAAATACTTTCTGAAGCCTATAAAAATAAGGAAAATAAAGTTATTTTAACGTTTATAAAACCTATATTAAAGCAAATATTCCATCTAAACACCTATTTTGATATTGATTATTTTCAAGCTTTTAATGATATAAATAATATAATTTAGACATTTGCAAGGCAAATTATGAAGCCACCATTATTAAACCATATTGATATTAATGATCTTGATACTTTAAAAAATGCAATGGAGTTTGACAGGAATAATTTAGAATTAGATAACTGTGACTTTGGATATGAATTTAGTGTTGAAGTTAAAGCTAGTAATTTGTCAGCAGAAAAAGTACGATATATTAAAAATAAATGTAAAGAATTTTTAAAAGTTTTCATACGAGAATTAATCAAACGAATGCCCACTCATTTAAAAGTTTTTTCTCAAATAAAGAATATCTCCCCTAAAGTAATATTAAATATTAAATCCTATAGGACCAAAATTTTTTGAATTGCCGTTACATTTTTACCAACAGAAAAGATAGGTAATGTATTCAACCGAAAGGGCCTTGTATATCAACCCAAACATTACCCCCTCTTCCGCTACCGGTTTGAATTGGCAGGTGTACGCCAACGACCCAATGACCCAGTTTCGATTTACCACACATCGAGAAGGTCACGCATTACTATT